TAGTTTTTCCTAAACGTACTTTGGCATTCAAATAATCAAAGCCAATCGGCGACCACTTTTGGTTGGACTTGTCAAGTGTTGTCCAATGATGCTAATGACAAATAATGTCACTACAGCTCTAGGGTAATATCTAACGAATCGATCAGTCTGGGTACTCAGAAAGTTGCTCCGTTCATTGGTTCAATTTATTTTTTCTTCTTAATTTTTTAATGCATTTCTCATTCAGCTAGATGACGAATCATACTACTAGCACGTGTGTGGACACATCAGGCGATAATCTTTTGTTTTAAAACCACTACTGCTATAGCCAAAAACTCACAAGACAAGTGACAGACGGTTGAACGGAACACAGCCTCCCTTCAAAATCAGAGTAATCATGCTTTCACGAAACACTCAGGATCCGTGATCGAACATTACAACAGTATGTTCACATCATCTATAGCTACAGTACTGAATACAGTAACTCACTGCATGGTGTACTGTTCTTTTCTTGAATATTACAAGAATCGTTCATCCGCTCGCTACGTCTTGCGTGCACCAAACAGACTACTCACTAATGTGAGTTGTACCTCGTTATCCTACATGTTGCTGATTATTCGAATACCATGGCTAATCAATGCTTATGAGTTTATACGATGATTGCTATTCTACAATGATTACATATTGCCAATAGTTCTGTTGAACAACGATAAAAAACTAAGGATTTTGTTTGTATGAGAGTAGTGGACCACATTCTATGATTAGCTCGGCTTGCAAATGAAGCATGAGCTTAATTTTATCTTAATCGGGAAATTTTAAGGATGAATAGTTCAGAATCAGTTATAGATTGAACAAAAACTAAATTTGAGCAGCTTAATCAAACGAGAATGAGTATTCTCCAGTAAGTTTAAGTGCAACGCAGATGGTGCGGAAACTTCATAAAACAATTCGAAATCAGCGGATAAAACAGTCGTTTACTCGAATGCTTTTGAATTTCACTACATCCACAAATTTTCCGGATTTCGGTATTTCTCTCGGCAGCAGTTGTTTGGCCGCGATTCCGTTCTTATGCAATAAGTGTTCTATTGAATATTCTTTAAACAAAGAAAGAAGTAGTGGTAACAGTAATAATACAATTATAAATCTGAAGTGCTTTCGAAAATGAATGAGTATAAATGCCACTAATATATTTTAGTAGGCTCTGAATTCTTCGACTCTGTGTACGGTTTTCATATAAAATCTGGCCAGCAGCATAACATGGTGCAGTTAACTAACCATCAACATAATTGTCCCCGTTTTGTTGGTCTTTCGGTTCAGGCAGAGATCAGGTGCGTATTCGCTTGTGTATGGCACCCATAACACGCGGTCCTTGCCGGGGCTATCATGTGCGCTGGGGCTATGATCCGGCCGAGAATCGTTGTGTACGGTTTGTTTACGGAGGCTGTGGTGGGAATGCGAATAATTATGAGAGCATTGAGTGGTGTGAATATTTCTGTCTCGAGACACCGGACGCATTCTACGGGGAATTGCTCAAACCGATTTGTTGAGACCGATTGATTTCGGTCGGTTCTAGTATTTTCAGATCACGTTTGTCGCAATTATGTCACATTTATATCGCCCCCGATTTGTCCATTCGATTGATTCTTGGTTTGCACAATGATAAGTCTTTCAGGAGATTTCCTTACTTCCAATGATCGTGACTTTTCATCTCTCACCTTGTCTTCGTTTTCACATGATTGAAGCAAGATAAGGTACTAATCTCTGGGGGTATATTTCTCTGATCTGCTACACGTTTTAATGAATAACCTAACTTTTCAAATGGCGTTTCCCCTGTTTTGCTGTCGTATATTTTGCTCAAGTTGAAGACCAATAACTGAAGCATTTACTCAAATCAATGCCTTTTGGAACTTTGATAAGTGCATCTTAAGCAGAATTGCATGTCACCTGAAAAAACATTCGGGTTACAACTTTGTGCCATCGCATTCACTATTATCCCTAAATCAGGATGGTAACATTGCATAAGAAGGTTCTGTCTATATGCTGTTAAGAATATATTTTTATAGATAAATACGCATGTAGCTCTGTGATTCAGAAAAAACTGATAAAAATAATGCACAAGTTTGAACTCCTTGAGCATCAAGACCAGTGTGAAATGTGTGTGATGATGGATTCATTTGAAACGAAACCTGCTACGCATTATAATAAAAAGCCTATCGGATAGAGGAAAAACAGAGTGTTCATCTTTTTGTAAATAAGGCGGATTTGGCCTCCGCTGTTGAGCACATTTTCAAAACCACCTGATAGAAATAATTTAATATTTGTAACCGGGTCTCGGAATCAAAGTGAAGAGGCGATCAGGCAGGCAAGCACTGTAGAGTAAACTGATGTAAAAATCACACCAACAGTAAACAAAAAAGTATTTTCAAGGGAAAATGCGTTCAGTTGGATTTTTTATTGCATTCACTATTGTGTGGTGAACAGTAGCAAAAGTAAATCACATTATCACAGGGATCTTGACCCAGCAGAACCGTCGGCGAAATCATTGGATGGCCTCATTTCGAAAGCTGATCAAAATTTGTTCCACATTAGGATTCGATAACCTTTATAATCAAAAGTGATACTTGCAATGTCTTGTCTGATTTGGCCACCAGAATTTCTGCACAAATGTTGCGCAGAACACACCAGTTATTGATTTGCCATAGCGCAAATGCATCATGTGATTCGTGGATAAACAGACCAGGTCTGGGAGATGCAAACAAATCAGCTGATGTCTGGAAGTCGACGATTTAGCATTTTTACATCAAAATCTCTATTATTGTCACCATTGCCCCCAATAGGATCAATATATTACATAAACACTTAAGGCAATGAAATTACCTATTGTTAAATCTGATGATGTGGCTCGGAAAACCGCAATTACTTACAGTATACATAAAAGCAAAATGGGTTGATGAATTTGTAGTAATATGCTCACCGTGATTATTGGTCATTAGTCATTGATCGATGACTAATGTATAATTAAGTTCCTAGTTCTCCGGTAGAACCCTTTTGGCAGTGAGTTATGAATGCACCGCTCTGAATAAACAACAAGATTGGATTATTTAACAACTGATTTTAGCTCTCTCACCGATCAATTTGAGTCTGTGTTTCCAAGCAACGCTGTTCATGATTCAGTCCTCATCTGATAGACTGATCCAACTAGAATGTGATATCACGTACCAGTTATTTTATGAAAAAATAAGATTTTTCTAGATCGCCTGAAATGATTTCTGAAATATATACTCCTCGAAATTTAAAGCGTGTTACAACAATTAATACAAAGTGATGATAGGCAACCTTGCTGTCGTCCGGTTCAATACCACGCCTAACCTATCGGGGCTTTATGTGCTTCACCACTCCAAGTCCCGGTTACCGGTTTACATCACTGAACAGCAGGTCCTCGTGACTATGGGGCTTTCCCTGTCTGCTCATCACACGAAAAGTGTATAATAAAAAAGCAATGGAATTAAAATACAGTTCATTTGGCAAGAATGTGTATCAGAATAACGGGTTTAAATGAGTCTATTATTCATTACTTAAATGGACAATTGTAAAATAGATTTTCAAACCAGAGTAAGCGTTAAATTCAAAAATCTCTATGGGTCACCTAGGAGGGGGGGATTCGATAGCTCTGGAGGAAATTGAAGTCTTTGAACTTCGAGCCGAGTTTTGGGGGTTAACTATATTGCCTAACAGCCGCTTTCAGCTTTTCATTCGTTCAATCCGGATTAATATTCATTGGTAATAGGGGAGGTGCAGTACATTCATTAATTACATTCGAATGGACTTTGTGTGGTTTAGCAATTGAGGTGCTGACCGTTCCATTGTGGCAATACTACTTCCCTAATCCAAAACAGCCAGCACCAAGTCATCCTTGGACCGCACAGGTCAGTCACATAATTGAAAAAGAGAGCGCGAATTTCAAAGTATGAGTTTGATCGGTGATTTATAAACAGTGTCGAAAAATTTAAGGCCATAACGGGAAAGATCGATCTTAATTTATACGTTAGTTTATGTGAGTTCTTCAAACGATTAGTCACGCTTCTATTTCCAAAACAGACTACCGGATGGAATACGCATTGGATGCGACGAACGATGGTGAGATAGTAGGTTATACAAAACACTAAGTAGATTTACAAGCCTGAACAATCAGGCAAGAAATGCCTCTCCCCGAGATAGCTTATATTTACGGAACTGATGCAGTTCTACTCAACCAAAACTAGTTGGTATACATGTCATTCTTTGCTCGAACTGGAAGACCCGTTGGATTCAGGTACACGCTCCAAAAAAAATTACATTTTTATGAAGCGCACAGGAAGTTTCTGCATTCTTGACTTCTTTAAGTATATCTCAACATTTCTTGACAGATACAGGGAGAGAGGGCTTGTGTTCCGAAGCCTCTCTTGTGAGGATGATTATTTTTCAGGTCTTATGATGTCCACACTAAATGAACAGTCAGCTTAACCATATGGTCTTTATGTTAGAGCACTTTTGAAAATCAATATGAATTGGGATGAGTTTTGGTTTCGAGGAGTACAGCCTACGTCTGAAATGATTTCAGACATCATTTCCTCTGTGGTTGTGAAGCCTCGTTCACACGCAAAAGTCCATTCTGTTCAATATGACCTGAAGCAGATATTTGACAATTATCATGAAAACCTGACGTGACCCAACTGGCGCGATTTGTTCTTCACTCAAACCAACATCATATATGTGGGCGTTTTGACAGGTGACCTTATAGCGGTTTTTCTTGACGAGAAGTTGTTTCAAATACTGGTCCATTTGATGAATACCTTCATCATTATTATTATCATTCAAAGTTGTGTCCCATTCTAGTAATCTGTTTAAAGGACACTCACAAAACAAAGCACGTATTTGGGTGAGGTAAACCTCGACGATGATATTTTAAATCAGAGTTTGTTGGAAGAAGCCTCAAGTGAGAAACTTGATACAGCGCCCAAAATAGATTGGAAATAGATAATCACCAGACCGAGATTGGAAAACACAGATAATAAGAGACTTCAATTGAAATGCGTTTCATGATGATTGCTCTGTGGAGAAATCTTAACAAAGCCCACCCAGTGTATACGAAGCTGCAGGAACCATACCAACACAGGGAGGCGATAAAATGGCGCTTCTGGGCTCCTACGACATTACTGTTTTTTTACTTGTAGTAGTTGAATGGAATTTGTGGAGAATCAAACTCGCGATCCAGATATACCACCGAGTATCGACAGTGGAACAATTCTTCTTACGTTTTACTTTGTAAACGTCGGTTACATGTGCATACGCTTGTGTATACGTAGAAGTGGAAAATCGGATAAAATAATTTGCATCACATTTCTTTTCTCTATAAACCGGGCGATGTTTCACCACTGGCGTCTTCATGTGTTCAAAGCTGTGAACAGAAACTTGGTCTCAAGTTCCACCCGAGGAACAATTTGGGACTGTGGATTCCAATGATATATATATATACAACACCTACTTGTAGACAAGTATGGTGCCAACTTATAAATGACTTTCCCCAATGAACCCTTAACCCGTTCGAACTGGTTTTTCTTCTTGCATACGTGAGCAGAAGGAAACTACTGTATTTGAAGCACTCGCTTCAAATACCTCTGAACTTTTCCCTTAATTCTCCGACTTATAACCGAGGAGAGTCACGGAATTTTGACACGCAGTCCTTGTTCTGTACACTTCCAGCCAACAACCGGGAAGATTTTCGGTAATTGGAGAATAAAGTGAAAGATCCTTCTTTCTTCTTGTAAATAGTATGCTATTTATTTCCTTGCACTAGCGTTGTCAATATTTAGTAGAAAAACTACTCGATAAATGTTGGAGGATTCAATGCCGCACAGTTATTTTGTCATTCCATGAAGACACTATTGCATCCCTCGGCGGCAGTAGGCATCAATTTGAAAAGCCGGTATAATACGCCTGATGTGCACCTGCACTATCTAAGCCGTTATTGGTGAGCACTCATCTACGTTATACCAATATTAATGGATCACAAAACAGTGCGTTGGAGAAGTTGTCCGAGGAAAAGAAAGGCAGACTTCTTGTAAGAAAACTGCAATTTTTCCGGAGATCACGCGAGAAAGACCGTTGTCGCGATTTCGAAAACAGAACATGACCTTTGCGGAAGAAGATCGAGTTATTCTAGACTTCATAGACTTCCATATAGTTTATTTCTTTATTGCATCACTGGGACCAATTATTACTAAATCACCGGCTGACAGTTAATTCTTGCACCAAGTGTATTATTACCAGGGGCGATTTTCTGATACATAGTTATGAGTGTAGGAGTCAAGTTATGATAAATTTCAAACAATCCAACAGAGTAGCAAATAAGCTCGTTTTAAATGATTCGTATCGAACTTCGTGGCCCACCCCACACAGCCCCCCAACACACACACATCATATCATGAGGAACCTCGATGATCGCATTAGTAAACAAACTATTATGTGATCGCGGTGATTTTTATTTTATTTTTCCATGATAGTTTTT